TTTTAGGATTATTTTAATCATTTCAACCCATGCAAGGTAATAAAGCCACTAAGACACAAGTGGTTACTGAGCCTTAAAGAATAAGAAAAAAAATTCCTCAAGGAATGAAAACACCAGAAGAGATAACTAGCATTTCATTTCAGGGAGCTGAAAGTGTGTTCCACAAGCAAGAAGTGTGAGAAAAGAAACTGTTAGCATAGTTAACATCTAGCCAATTCAACTGGAAACCAATGAGACCCCATCACCAGTCTTGTACTGCACTTGGTTTAGGTACTATAGTGAAGTATTTATAGAAAAGGCTCAGGGAGGTAACTTTACAACAGCAGGAAAGTGACTGAAGTCGAGATGCCAGATCAGGACCAATAATATTGCTGATTCTTCTGATTTGATCAAGTAGACAGTAGATAACAATTAATATTGAATTTGAATTTTTGAAGATCAGAGTTGGCTGGAAAGAAGAGTTCCACAAATAAGAAGTGTGAGAAAAGAAACTGTTAGCATAGAACTTATGGTTACCTGGCCAATTCAATATAGTTTTAGTATAATCTGAAATCAAGAAAATGAGCTTTTAAGTCGTATACCTAGAGGGTGGTAGAAGAAGACATCAGTTTAAACTGCTATAAAGAGGTTGTATAAATTCAGTCTAGGTACCATAGTGAAGTGTTCAGCCAAACAATAACCATGAAATTATTTCTCATAGAGGCACAGGGAAGCTACATTACAGTGATGTTGAAAAGTGACTGAAGCCAAGATGCCAGGTCAGGCAATAATATTGCTGATTCTTTTTGGATTTTACCAAGAGTCACTAAATATGGTTCGATGTTCCTGCAGTATATGGCGTCTTGGGTAAGACGATAAACTGTCCAACAGCAATTCTGATCAGGAGGTTTTGAGGAGTGTGAAACCATCTTTTAATTGCTGGTGTTCCCAGGTCCGCCCTGACCTGGAGTGGTAGCACCATTAGGGTCCCAGTCATGGGCAAATAGTTAACCTACATACTGGGGTCAAAAGACTATGAAAGTCTAAAAATAGGTTTTAATACCAGAAATGCTTTGTAAATAAATTCTTACCAGCAATAGATTTTTGAAGGAAAAAAATATTAACAGCAATACATTTTTGAAAAAAAAAATATTACCAACAATAAAAATTGTCAGCATTAAATAACCCACTGAGGTTGATATGCCGTAAACCAATCCTGTAGTATGTGTGGCAGCAATATTCAAAGCATGTCTAATGTTAAGATTGTGGTCACCAATAAGGAATTACAGTAGGACTTCTAATTCTCTCAGAATTGTCTTGTTGCATTAAGTCCAGTGTGGAGACACATCCTTGTCTTAGATTTCTTTCTATTTTTGTATATTTAGTTAATTGATCATGAGGTCCCCAGGTCTCTATCCTGGGACCTGCACTGTTTCTGATCTTCAATGATCTCCCCAATGTCATCAGTTCTCAATTAGGTATTTCTGCAATTGGCACAACCATTTACTCCTGTCTTAGTGACCGATCTGATAAAGTAAACCTGGCAGCTGCTCTTGAAAAGTACCTCCAATTAGTAGTAAACTGGGATGAGAAATATCTTGTAAATATGAATCCCTCCAAAACAAAGCTGCTTTCATTTCACCACCACGGAGAACCTTTTCTGTTTGCCGTCAGCATGGCTGACACTAGACTGCTGAAGAGCAATAGACTGTGTCTACTTGGCCACACATTTTCAACTGACTTGAAGTCGAGCGACTACATTGAATCAATAGCTGCATTTATTGCAAAGGAAATTTGGATCACTGTGTTGTGGCAGAAAATTTTTCTCGTTAGAGTCCATCTTGCACATTTACAAATCTACCATTCGTCTGTGCATTGAATACTTTGCCATATCTGGTCTGGTACTCCTGCTACTCATCTTGAGGTTCTTGACAAAATCCAAAGAAGGATTTGTAATGTAATCTATCCTTACCAGGTATCTCAATTTCAGACACTCTCACCGTTGTAGCTTCCCTCTGTCTTTTCTACAAATATTTTCATGGCACCTGCTCTGACAAACTTTTATCCCTGGTGTCCAAACTACACGTGTTTAAGTGATCTACTAGATTGGCAACTAGGTATTAACTGTTATTTCTACCCCAGCAGTTTTTCTCACACTTCCCACCTGTGGAACTCCCTTTTGTTTTCTTGCTTCTATGATAGTTACAATCTTCAAAAATTTAACTGCAATGTCAGTTGCCATCTTCTGTCTTCTTGAATCCTGTTCATTATTTTGTCCTTTCCTTAATTCTCCTCTTTTGCTTTCTCTCTCTGTATACTAGTGGCATCACTGCCTGATCTGTTTTACATCAGTTGATCAGGCTAAATAATCTTGTAATCTTTCTGTCATTTTATTCTTCTGAGATCAAACAGTAGTTAATGAATTGATGCCAGTTCTTGACTTTAGTTACAAGCTAACCAAACTACGGCTGATAATGCCAGGCGTCAGATCTTGTTGATAATTATGGGTAATCCTCCTGTCAGTTATTTGACAATGAGACAAGGTCACAGGTCATTTGGATTCAGGTCTTTCTAATTTAAAAACTTATTTTAATGCTAAATGCTTAGTAAGGTTTTGTTCTTGTGCAAAAGTAAGCTATCTAACATGCAGTCAGACTAGCTCATTAACCATTACCAGGCTCTGAAGGAACCTTTTGTTTCCCAATATAAAATGATTGATATTAGAAAGTTGAATTTAAAAATGAAAATATTCATTTTTATTCTTTTTTTGTTTATTTCTTTTTAAATAACCTCTTTTGTTGCATGAGAAATGGAAGCTGCATGGGTAGGGCTGGGTGTGAAGTTGACAAATGTAAATTTATAACAAAATAGAATAGTACCAAATCACTTCCAAAGGAAATTAAGAATATTCTAAACAATTTTATTTTATTTTTTTTCTAATTCAAAGTAATTTCTTACATTGACTTTGTCAAGTTGACAAAATAAAAACAAAAAAGATGCTTATACTTGACATCAGAAAAAAACTGATATCTCTAGAGCATGTAATGAGGGCTTGGAAATTTTGACACTCACAGGACATATTGAAGGCATGAGAGACAGGAAGATGGCATATAACCTACTTAACAAGTGTGTGTAAATGGTTGGCAGAAGAGGGATTAGGAGATATAGCTAAAAGACAAATTTACTAAGGGCTATAAATGATGGGAAGTTGTGGAGAGCCATAATTGCCTATGTCCTGAAGGCACAAAGTGAAAGAAAAAGTAATATGCTGGAAAAAGATACTTTGAAATTATTAGTCCATGATAAGAGGTCTTAGAAAATTTGACACACCCAGGACATATTAAAGATAGAGGTGAACAGCAGATAACCTGCCTAAAGAGCTTGTATAATTGGTTGGCAGAATGGGGATTAGATGAGATAGTGAAAAGATAAAATTTACTAAGAGCTACAAAGGGCAAGAAATTGTGGAGGGCCATAATCATCTATGTCCGGTAAGTGCTTTTTATTATTGTTATTCTACAAAGGGATACAACATAAATAATAATAATATAAAATTAGTAGTGGATTTTTAGTGTTCATTCAGAGTATGACTTAAATGCTTTTGCTTAATGACCTTGTGACCTTAATTCTTTTCCCTTGACCTCTGCTTTTAAGTACACTTCTTATATATTTATCTCGTCATGACTTTTATGATCTTTTGAGTCCAGCTTTTCTTTTTGATGCATCATTAATTTTTTTATCTTCTCACAAGATTACCATAAGTTGGCCAATTTAATCCTTTCTTATTCAAAACTTATTTGACACATCCAGATTTACTCTTGTCTGTTTAAGCTATCTAATATTTGAGAACCAGGCCGAATCAAATATTTGTCTTAATGCCAGAAAAAAGACAGTCAGGTTAGAACTTGGTATGATGGATTAATCTTTCTAGGTCATAGACGAGAATGGATTTATTGTTTGCTGGAATTTTAATCTTAAATTTTTTTTTTTTCTTTATGTGATTAATAATAAATAAAAAGGAACATGCACTAAAAAGGAGAGATGAATAAAAACAAAAAAAAAACCTGTACAAAATGAATATAAAATGCTCGTTTAATCAAATATATCAAAAGTTAAAGGCCTATACTTTGAGCCTCAAACTTGCACCTGATCTCAAGTGGAACCCTTACATATGATCCATTGCTAAAGATCTAGGTAAAATGGTCAGCTCTCAGTATCACTCCAGTAAATACCTGATTCCTGCTATTTTCTACCTTTACAAAAGCCAGATAAGAACAAAAATGGAGTACTGTTGTCATATTTAGGTGGGAGCTGCCCAGACCTTGCTTTCCAAAAGCATCTCCGAGCACCCATGGGTGATGAATTGTTCTTGACCTATCAACCTCTCTCATAGGCAGGATGTGGCAAGCCTATTGTTAATTCCACAGAAAGTGCTTGGATGAACTACATTCCCTTGTCCCACCAGTTGAAACCTTCATGACAAGG